CAATATAGGCAGACTGGCTTCGGCACTTCATGTGCATGGTGAAATCTCTAGTCATGGGGTAGCTACTGTCGACTGGTCATGTAACCCGCCTCTTTGTCAATGTTCCTTATTCCGTTCAAAAGGAGTGACCATGTAAACAACTCTAACTGCTTGCTTACAGTAGTCTATCTAAACCTTACTGATGGGTTTGGTTTCTTTGCTCATGAGGGTTGGGGCCTCTGGCTTCTTTCTCTATATCCTTGCGGGTAGGGGCGTATCACACTTTTGTAGCTGGGTTTAGGGTTTAGGGTGGTTGACTCTTTCCTTACTACCACGACGGCAGGAGGTCGGTATTGCTGGACCTTTTATCAGCCCCTCTTGTTCAAGTGTTAGTAAACTGGACTTTGTATCTGTACTTGGCCGGATGAGCATAAGGACAGAATTCCTAAGTGTTTATTTTGCCAAGCATACTTGGCATAGGTTTTTAATTCTTTTTTGCTCTGTTTTGCACTGGCTTGACAAGAACCCTCGCATATTGAGATTAGTCCCTCAATATTGCTGGATGATAACTTACCATGTCTGCCAAACACCTCTCTATCATGCCCTTTGTGTTAGTCTCAATTTGGTCCTAAATGCTATTTATAGAAAGTGTCTAGATTTGCTCATTTAGCATATCTGTGGAATGTAGAGATTATTCTAAACACAATGGTATTCGTCCCGTGTCCAAATTCGCAATCTAGGGACATTCCATATTTAGTAAATTTCAAGCTTATCCCAGAGACTAACTCTTGGTACTAAGGGATGCTTGGGGTGAAAGCCCAAAGGGTGTGTTCCTTAGGGGGGGGGGGGCGGCTATGGAGGATGTCCAAATGTATAGTAAGGATAGTGGGTAAGTCGGGCATGGTTGACCAACTTGAGATATAGTCTAGCTCCCGCTTGTGTGCCTGTCCTTGTTTTATGTCTAGCTTAGGTCTAAGCCCAAGATCCATACTATGCTAGCTGGTGGAATACCCATGTCCTCGTGTTATGCCATTGGTATGCTAAAATAACGCCCAGACTCTGTTTAGCTCTGTTTTGCGTGCTGGTCTTGGCATTGGGATGCTGGATACTCTAGAACTATTCCAAGTCGCTCTATGCCCCTATCCCTTTGCTCCTTGGGCTATACACATGGGAGTTGCTCCGTGGTTTGGTTCCTTTGCTCCTTAGCTTCATGCTTGGGAGTTTGGCACCGTTCCTTCATTTAATGACCCTGGTTCCACACCACTATCCTATAAACACGTGGCATGTGACATGTGGCATATGACATGTGGCACATGGAGGGTTTAGGATAAAGGGTAAAATCCATGTCCACTATACATGCCATCAATGAGGCTAGAATATACTATTTTCTTCCATGGGATAGAGAGGCTGGTAAAGATATAGTATATATTGCACACCTAATACAAGAAGGGATATAAAGGAGTTTAGTTAACTACCTCAAAGATGTTTGTAGATAGAAACTATGAAAAACTCATTTGCAACTCTAAAACATATTCAAAAGATAGTCCTCAAGGATTTTATTGTAAGCACCCTACTCAATCTAGGCTACAAAAAGACTCAATTGGACAAAGCTAGCTTGCAAGAGTTATTACGATGTGTGCAACTTGCAACTAGCCTTAGGAGGTAGGAAAATAATATTACATACTTTTCAATAATACCTCTCTTATATTTTATTTTATTTAGGATAAAATCTTGAATGTGTGAATCTCTAGAGAGGAAGCTACAGTAAAAACTTGACTCTATCCTTGAACTAAAACGAACCTATCCTTTTAAGTTTATCCACAGAAGTTTATTTCGAGATCAAGTCATTAATGAGTAAAAGCACTTCTTTGTCTTCAAAATATCTACCATAAGCCCCACCTTTGGTGTAGATCTTGTCTTTTAAATGGATATGTCTAGGGTAAGTGACTTTGGTAATGTATGGGTACATTTTGACTCTATGGAGAAGGTATTAAATTGGACAATCATGGGAGCTTATATATAATTCAAGGTAATTATTTTTTGTCACTATCTTAAAATGGTTTTAAGCATTACTTTTTTCATAGGCTACGTTCCAACTTAACAATTGCAATAGCAAAGTTTAAAGTACAAGACTAGATGGCTTAAGAAATATTTTGGAAGTCCTTCTCTGACATTATATTAAAGCAAACTAGTAAACCTACCAACTTTCACAATTTCATGGCAAATGGGGATAGGGTTAATTGGAATGGTGTCTGTGCAGTTTTTGGGAATGGTTAACCTCTAGAAGGTCATAAAAGGACTTATGAAATCCATTGGGCTCAAAGCCTAAACCAATACTACTATTTTATCAAGTTAAACTTCTAATTAGCATTTAAGGAGTTGTGCAAATAATGGTAGGCTGCATTTAAAAAAAACCATGATGTAAAAGCAAATGAGATTTAAATGTGGTAGCATGAAGATGGCCATATGGATGTAAATTGTCTATCACAATTTAAATCATGGTTAGAGTGGTGGGAAGTTAAGATGTTCCAATAGGGATATCACTCTTTTCATGTTATTTTCTCTTTTTTTTCTCTCTCTTTTTATTACCTTTTGATTTTTTTTTTTATTAGGACCAACCACTTGAGGATCTTATATACACCTCAACTATGAATATCTCTGAGAGTAAGCATTGGAGTTGGCATTCCTTTAAGGCAGGGAAAGGGAATATGAGTTAATATGAAATATGTTTATCAAATTTTATATGTGCTATAGAGTAGTTTTCAAAAGCCTTAGCATTTGAGAAAGGAAGATATATGGGAATATAATCTTTGGTTGAGATGTTACATAATTAAATGAAGAAGAAAGTGATTCCACCAGCATAAACAGTGGCAACTACAATGGAGGAAATGGTCCGTAGCACATCTATAAAGTACACTCTCTGAGCTTCTATTGGTGATATAAAGACCGCCGACTCAAAGCATTGTTTTTCCTTTGCCAATGAAGATGTTGGCACGGACCTTGGAGTGAAAAGTTTTCATAATTTTAATTTTACTCCAAAACACCACCCCCAGATTGAACCACCTCAAGTGGCAAATGAAAAAAGTGCATCACAATAAGTTAAAATAACTTACTATAGCGTGGAGTTGAAGCAATGAGCAATTCACCACATGCTAGCAAAATTCAATATAAAGTGTGTGGGGATGCTTCTAAAGGGAAAATGCTAAACTTGGATCCATAGTAACAAATTTACTTTTGTTCCAGCCCCATATTTTCTTAGGAAACAAAAACAAGTCAGATTTTCAAGATGGTGTTGGTTGTATTGCTACAATACTAATGCCAACCATATGAAGCGGCTTGAAGACACTATAGTGACAAAATTTGATATTACACTTAAAGAATGGCCAATTGCTAGTGGGGTTACACTCACATCACATGAGATTGAAAACCTTGATAAATTTGGCTTCAGTCTTAAGAAGAAGAAAGTTGAAGATATGAGTGATAGAATTATAACTATTCCTATAAAGATGCACAGAAAACTTGCAAGAAAAGGTAAAGTAGTTAAATTTTTTAATACATTTCCAAGCAGCAGTAGAGTAAAATAAACTTAGTTCAATCGCTTGAGTGTGAGGTTCTCTCTATGAAGTGCATTATTATACTAACAAAGGAGTACATTGTGAAAATAGAAAGTGGAAAATATACAATTGTCATTCAAGACCTTCCTTCTTCCACATGTCTAGACTTTAAAAACCATGAGGAATATAAGAAGGCATATGCTCCTTGCAAATATATGTACTATATCTTCATCAATATTTTACACTAAGATCCTAAAGTGGATATTCATATACACTAAACAATCCTTACTATTGCTAAATTATAGAAGACTTTTGGAGCTAACTAGATTTTCCAAAACTATTGATATTTATTCTTTATCAATAATATAAATTTATTATACTTTATATAATTAATGAAAAATCATACTTTTCATTTAATATACTTGCGAGCAATATTGCCCATAATACTCGTATGTCTATATTTCTATCTTTACCATTTCAAAAAATATTTCATGATAATCTTTTGGGTGTGTGATGTTGTAATATGTTGCAAGAGCATATATACTATCATACTGATCATTGCCATTGTTTCCACTAAAAGCCAGAAAACATATAAGGCATTTTTTGAAAATCATGAAATTGTAGTTTTTTAAAACAAATAAAAATGTATTCTAGAGAAGAACCAAATTTTTATTTTATATGTAATAAATTGACATCAATAGTTGTTGTTTTTTTCTTTCCAAATGGTTATATAGCCTTACATAGAATTTTATTTCAAATTTAATAATTTTAAAATTCGACAAACTTGACATTTACTAGCTAGAAAGCACATAGTATAGATTTACAAAAGTGACAAGAATAATTTTTTTGCAAACATCTTATTTTATGTTTTAACAAACATCTTTATTATGACATATAGTTAATATTTAAATTGTTAGAACAAGAAGTGTCCTTTAGAACATTTTTATCTATATAATATATAGAAAGTTATGAAATTATTAAGTTCACCATAACCTTAATATTTTAAACTTTATAATGTTTATATTAAATTACAATTAAAAATTGAGCCTAACTCACGAGCTCAAATCTTTAGCTCATGAGCTCAAGAATGGTCTACACTCAAATCAAACACTAGAGCATCTACAAGATAGCTTGAGATATGAAAATCCAATACTAGTGAGTGAACAAAAAGCTAAGGATCATGGTGGATACTAGTGCCTAGTTTGCTACTTTAATTTTGGCTCGTCCTACTGTGTTTTTGTAACCATGTATAGGAATATCCCTGGATTAAGTAATGTACTATATATTATAGAAAACCAATCAAGATACACCTAGATTAAATAATAGACTATATATTAACAAGCTCAAAAATTTCATCAAATTTCTTTATTTATCTTAAACCATTACTTACTTTTCATGCTTAATTCGTCTAGCCACGATGATAATACTCTTGACAATAGTTTACAGAAAAGAGTAAGACAAGCAAAATGTTCTTCACATGATATATTTTATTAAGAATTTCAGGTAATAATCACGATATTTCATTTAATAATTATGGGGCTGGTTTTCCTTTATCAGGCTCCGGCAGTGGTTTATCACCTGGATTTGGAAGTGGAAGTCGATCTTCTGGTTTTGGAAGTGATACCTCCTTTCCAGGCTCTGGCAATGGCTTGGCATGGCCTGGATTTGGAAGTGGTTTCTCTTTGCCAGGCTCCGGCAATGGCTTGGCATCATCTGGATTTGGAAGTGGCTTCTCCTTGCCAGGCTCTGGCAATGGCTTGGCATCGTCTGGATTTGGAAGTGGCTTCTCCTTCCCAGGCTCTGGCAATGGCTGATCTTCTGGGTTTGGAAGTGGCTCCGCCTTGCCAGGTTCAGGCAATGGCTGATCTTCTGGGTTTGGAGGTGGCTCTGCCTTGCCAGGCTCAGTCACTGGTCCGTATGAAGGCGGCTGCTCTTCTCCAGGCTCTGGAAGTGGATCCTCTGGAAGATACAATTGTCAAACTTAATGAACCAAGAGATGTAAGATCATACAATTTACCTTCCAGGCGCCTTCCTCCAGTGGCAAGAGCCGCATTCACGCCCAGCAAGAACACAAGGAGCACCACTATCATCTTCATCGCTCTATAAAGGATAGAGTGATCCACATTTATATAGCAAGGGAAAATGGATCCTCACATGCACAAAAGAAAGAAAAGTTGGCCTGGCCTGCGTGTTGTATGTGACAAGGTGGCCCTACACTGCACGTTGTTCCTACAGGATTAGGGCGTATCTGGCAACTTCACCTATTACGTGGCTAATGACTTGGCAATGTACGGTCAGATAAGCATATTCGCTCTAGGGCTTATAGCTACGGCCATGGCTGCCAGGGATGGGAATGCGGAGAGCTCGATCGAGAGGTCTGTTTAGCGCGCCACACTGGGATCGATATCTAGGTGGAAGATAGCTCTAGAATTTCTCAATTATGGAGGAGGGTAGCAGGGATTTAAAGAAGAAGCTCCTGATCCACGAGGATGAGAGCGGCCTGGAGCTTAGCCTGGGATTATCTCTGGGAGGAGGAGGAGGAGGGGGATCGTCGCTGGAGAAGAAATCGTCGTCATTGGCAGTAGCAGCAGCAGCAGCTACAGTGACTGGAGATGGGGATTCTTCCGCGCATGAAGAGGAATGGATCTCTAGGACCAATAATCACAGCAGCCAGGAGCTGTGGCTGAGAAAGGCGATGATCCAGCAGCAACAGCAGCAGCAATCCCAGCAACAGTCCCGGCTGCGAGAGTTCCTCGCCGCTACTGCTACTCCCTCGTCATCTTCTCCGGACGTTTCCTCCCAGCAGCAGCAGCAACAGATCGCCGCGGCGCACGTAGCCGCCGCTGCCTGGAGGCAAATGAATCACGTCGATCCAGCCGCGAAGTTCATGAGCTCCAGCGGCATGCCTCTCTCGATGGGCGATCTAGCGAAGTTCCTGGCGGCTGCAAAGTCGACGTCTTCTTCGTCGGCTCTTGCTGGCCACCAGCCCCAGCAGCAGCAGCAGCAGCAACAGGCCCAGCCTCGCGAAGACGACGAGGAGCTTGATTCCGTGGAGCAGCAAAGAAAGTTTTTCCAGCACCAGGAGGCGCGGAAGAAGCGAAAGATGCTCATCGACGAGCAGAAGCAAAACAAAAAGGCCAAGGACGACGACAAACCCGGTAAGAAGAACGTAGAAAACGCAGAGCGCTTTCGATTTTCTGATCTCCTCCCTTGGTTCCAGATGGAGCCGAGAATGCCGCTGGCGGCCTCTCACACATGCAGCGCGCCACCTCGCTGGGAACTTTCCAAAACCAAGCCGGCCCTTCCGCCATGGCCGCGCTCGCCACCCAACTTATGCGGAGAACGATCTCGGACTCCTCCCTCGTCGCGCAAGCACAAGCATCGTCCAGAGACGACGGCAATCCCGCTGCTGCTGCTGCTGCTGCTGCTCAGGCCGATCCAGCGACAGAAGCTACTGCGAGAGCTCTGGATCCAAACGCCACCGCCGACGAGACGAAGCAGCTCCTGGGGATGTGGCAGCTTGGCACCACAGTGGACATGCCAGCGGCGGAGAGCATAGATCCGGAGCTGAGCAGCCTCCGGCCGGGGACGGTGGCGGGGCAAATCGGAGGGACGGGCTCGTCACCCGATCTGCCGTGGGTGTCGGCCTCGGGGCCCGGCGGCAAGGCCATCAGCGGGGTCGCGTACAAGCTGTTCCAGGGGCAGTATAAGATCGTGTGCTCTTGCCACGGGCTCCATATGTCCCCCAGCGATTTTGTCAAGCACGCTGAGAGCCCGGACGCTTCATCTGCCAATGGCGGCGGCGTCAAGGGCCTCGGAGATTCCATGCCCGTGCTCAGCCAAGTGACTCCCGCATAAAAAGTAACCATGACACGAAAAAAATCGACATATATTTTTCTGCTTATATTGACCTTCACAAAAGCATCAACATCGTACTTTGATCGTGTGCTCTTTAACATCGCAGATATTACAAGTTCACATCAAAGTGAACTTGGAGATCAGATTAGATGTTACTCGCAACCACTCTTCTGGAAGAGGGAGAAACTGGGAATAAATTTGTTATTTTTCTCACCTACCAGTTTTTGGTGGAGCTGCTGACTTGAAATGTCACGTGACTTTTCTGTTTAAAATAGACATTTAAAAAAGCTTTCTTTTTTCTTTTCTAAATACTTTTAGAAAAGTTGTATATACACTTGATTGAAGTAACTCGCGGGCGGGCTCAAAATCTGTTCTTCCCCGACTTGTAGGGACAGTCGTGCCTGCTGTTGATTGAAATCTCTCTCACCTCCACTAGATTAATCACTTTTTCGGGCCGCGATTTCTTCTCGACTCGATGGTCACTGTTCGCTACCTCTTCGCTGGCTGCTGCCCACTTGTCAATCGTCCCGGGGGGACATCTCATCCAGCGAATCCGCCGAGGAAGCAGCCGAGGAGGACGAAGACGAGGTGGAATAGTCACTGCTCGAGCCCGAGTAAAAGTCGTCCTCCTCGGACTCGTCGTCGTGCACCAGCATGTCCCACAGAAAATCCCGCCGGGATCGTCTATCGCTGGCCATGACCACTTCCTCCCACACTTGCGAGCTCCTCCCCCGGTAGAGCTCCAGCACCGAGGACGCGTCCGGGTTGAGCAGTGCCAAGTCCCTCACGGTCTCGAACCCCGCCTCGTTCAGCCTCTTGAGCTTGCCAGGCCCGTCTTTCACCCCGATCAGCTCCGGCAAGCCACCCATCCTGCTCGTCGAGTAGATCCTCGCGTTGTCCACCGCGTCGCAGTACCTCTCCAGCGACGCCGCGAACATCTTGTGCGATCTCAGCTGCGCGGGGATGGGCACGAAGCGATTGGTGATAATCGCCCTCCTGATCCCGCGGACCACCGCCAGTAGCGCGTCGCAAGTCACCCCGACGAGAACGATCCGATAAGCCGGCCTCTCCTCCTCGCACAGCTTCCCTGAAGCACCGGTTTTTGTTTTTCTCTCAGCCACCTTAGTTGATAGTGGAACCCGTGACGAGAATGTACCTAGAAACTCGTCCACCACCTTCTGCTGCTCGCCATCGCTGTTATTTTGGAGCTCCTGATCCTCCTCCAATGAGGCCAGGAACTCGTCCTCGATGCTCGTCTCCTCCGCCTCCACGGGCTCCCAGTACCGCTCCACCAGAACCCCGTTCTCGTCCAGCCTATACCCGGGTCCCAGGCGGTACCGCCGCCGGTGGACGTCCCGGGCCATGGCGATGGTCTGCATCACGAAAGGCTCCCACGACATTGTCCCGTCGAAGATCACGTCCCTCCCTTCGTTGAGAGCCGAGACGAGCAGCGACGAGGCGGCCCGAGTGGAGGAGTCGTGGACGAGCTGGGAGGCCATGCTCACGTCGCCCGAGCCAGAGCTTAGCGAGCGGTAGAGCACATCAGCCTCCTTGAACGCGTCGGCCTCCACCACCACGGCGTCATGACGCACGATACTCTCCGTGGCGTGGAGAAGCTCCTTGACTACGGTGCTCTTGCCCGCTCCCATTCCACCACCAACGAGCATCAGCACTGGGCTCCTCCTTTGCCTCTTGAATTCTCCTCCAAGCTCATGATCACAGTCGGGCAACTCCCTTGCTTCCAAATGCTTGATGGTTTTCATCGCCTTGATCGTCTCCACCAGCGTCGCGAAAGCCCGCTTCGCCTTGAGCGTTTGCATGGCTCGCTGGAACCGATGCTTTCTCGTCGCGGCCATGACAATGCTTCTCAAGTTCCTCTGCCCGCTTCGGACTTGATCCAGCAAGTGGGCCGAGTGTTGCCAGTGGAAGGAGAAGTAGGAGATCATGCACGAATCCAGCTCCTTGACGAGCTCGTCAAAGACCATCTGCGAGGAGCTCGGGTCTTTAAGTCTCTTGGAGAGGAATGCCGCGATGTTCTCCAGACTACCGTCGCTGGGGCTCTTGTCCCCGTTGAGATACTCCATGGCGACCTTGGCCAGCGCCTTGGCCACGGGGGAGTTCTTGCTCAGTCCAATCTGCCTGGCCACGTAATTCCCATAGAGCTCAATGGTCTTGGCGAGGCCGCCGCTAGTGAGGCCAATGTGAGCGATCAGAGCCTCGAGATCGCCGGAATCCGGCCGGGCCGCCAGGATCTCTCGGCTCTGCTGGGAATTTTGGTGGAAACTTTGACTTTGATGCTGCTGCACTTGCTCTTGGTTCCTGTGGATTTGCAAAACCAAAGCAAACGCACCTGTTACCGTGAACGACCCCAGGTGCTCTCTCATCATCGCATGAGGCGGATGATAGAGCTTGGCGCTCGAAATATCCGCCCTGGGAGCCAGCCTGATCGATCGATCGCCGTTTCTTGGAAGAAAAGGAAAGATCCGAGGCTAGTCTCCCCCGTTACTGTCGCGGATTGGAGACAGCGCAGAATCTACACGAAACAGCGAAGAAGAGAATCCCTCTGCCGCATGGAAGCCCCCAAATCCCTAACGGGCGCCAAGAGACCAGAGAAAAGCCCTATATAAAAAGAGACGCCCATTCCGTACGTTTTATTTTACGCGCTCGCGTACATGCTGACCAGTGACTCCAGAGAGGCGTTCTACTGTTTCGAACTCGCGACCTCCGTTGGCCCCGGACGGCCGTCGATCCCTTCCCGCGATCAGGAGGCACCGTCCCCACGATTCTCACAACGTTGGATTTTTATCTTCTCCTTCCTCTGTGGGTTCTCTTTCGTGACGACGGCGATGGAGAAGGCAGTGCTTTTCCAGACCCAACTGGAGGATGTGATGGGAGATTTTGGCTACAAGAAGCCATTGCTCTGGGCCACGTCGATTCTCACTGGAATTCTCATGTCCACGCTTGTAAGTCAAACGTAAAAACCATAAAAAAGACGAAGGAACTTACCATGGATCGGTCGACTTGTCGAGCAGGCATTCGAGTCGATGCAGGCTTACGGCCCGGTTCTCTTCCCAAATGCGTACACCAAGCTCTCGGACAAGGACAGGGTCGAGTGGAACAACAGGTATTCCAAGTCAATTCGGTCTGCTCGTAGTATTTAAAGTTTTGTAGGCGGGTTTATGTGAGTCGCGTCACTACATGTCAAAAACGTGGTCAGAGAACGCATAGAAAAGAAAAAAAGCTATGGATGTGAATCAGTTCACCTGTGAAGAAGATGGAGAAATCGCGGTTTGACCATAATGCAGGGCAATCTCTTTCACGCACGCCGTCGTCGCGACATTGGTGGCCGGATATCTTTTCTTCGTCTCGGACCTGTTTAGAGAAGAGGTGGCGTATGGACCTGTTGTGTTCCGGAGCACCATCTTCACCCAGTTCTTCCTCGGGGTTCGGTACTTTATGTTGGAAAAATCTTCCATCGATCATACTGTTCTTCCAGGTCTCAAATGGATACTTTATCACGGACATGGCGATGTTGCTGAAATATTATCCGAACCTGGGAGAGATTGAGTTTGTGAGTGTACACAAAACTGAAAAAAAACAATGAAAAAAACTCACCGGTCATACGTAACAGGTTGTTCATCACGCTGTCTCCATTATCTCGCTCTTCCTGGCAGTGCATAGCGGATATGCACACATATATCTATACACGGTACTCCTGTCCGAGAGCACGACGCCTTTTATAAACATTCGATGGTACACAAGAAATCGAATTCATGCAAGCACGACCAAAGAGATAAGTTAACAAAAAAAAGACAAACGTGGATGCAACAGGTACCTGGCAGCGGCGGACATGAAGAAAACTCGAGCTTATACAATCAATGGCATTGCACTCTTCGTGAGTTGGCTGGTAAGTTTGTCTTCCTCCTGCTACAAACAAGAAAAAAAAGTTTTGAACTTATTACTTCTGTAAGACAGATCGCTCGAATTGTCCTCTTTGTTTACCTCTTTGCTCACATGTACTGGCACTATGACGAGGTATTTCGTGTTGCTTCGAAATTCCTGCATTGAAAGCTCGAACTTCCTTGCAGGTGATTGAAATAGATACCATCGGATACTATTTCATGTTTTTCTCGACGTCTGTATTTGCTATGATGAACCTGTACTGGTTTGAGAAGATTGCCAGAGGCTTGATCAAAGTATTAAAGTCCAAGGAAACTTGAACACTGTAAACTAAAGAGAGCGCTTTCAAAGAGAAAACAAATCCATATACAAACGAAAATTCCAAACATTAGCCTGATGAAACATTAAATTTCAATACCGTCGTGTCTTCCATTCGTAGCAATAGGCTTGGCAGCTTTCTCGGCTTTCCTCCTCTTCCAGTGTACCATCCAAGTAGCGACCTCCAGAAGCAAAGAGATGACCGCGAGGACCACAAGTATACCGGTGTATGCACGACGCCACTTGTTGTGCGGTTCCAGAATATCGAGGCCTTTATAGATGTTAACGATCGCGAGGAGCAACGTCAGGTAGCCAATAGTGCGATGATAGACTTTCCAGTATGGACGTGCTTTGTGATCGAGCCCTGGCCTCAATATCAGCGACAAAACCTGAGTGATCATAGAAAAGTAATGCTCTACATCTTCAAACTGTGGAAAGCAATGAGAACTACCTGGAGCGTCCCGAAAACAAATAAAGTTATCCCGATGTTCCTATGCTTGTGATAAACTACACCGACGGAGTAGCTTCCGAGCCTAAGCCCGATAGCCCAGCCAATAACACCAAGAATGTAGCCAATAACCTGAAACGGAACGTGGAGAAAAAACCATGCGCTGTCATGGAAAGGTCGCAAGTATCTAGCAAACATGGCACCGAGCGGGAGTAAAATCCCCCAGCCAATAGCATTGATAAGTCCATGAGCCTGCAAATAAAAAACTTTAGTCGAGCATGAAACAAAAAGAGAAGAGAATACATACCTCCTTAAGCTTCTGATGCAGAGGACGTGACGATAAAAGTGCTCCGGAGGTGATATCAAAAACACCTCTACCGTTCAAGTCATTCGTGCCGAGCGCGTGTTGCTGGGGACTAAAGTTGATGACACTGGATCCCCGGTTCCATACGTGGTTGAGCCTCGTCTGATTTGGCCTGAGCTGGATCAAGGCGTAGAGCCTCATGTTTCGCTCTTGAATCACCACTGCCCGATCCAGGACGACGAGATCGATCGGGCTGCACGTAAGTGGCCTCAGCGCCTGGGTCTCTTCCGTCAACTTGTAGTCGAGCAAGTTACTCCCGTTTCCAGCTTGGAAGGCGACCAAAGCGTTGGTCCCGATCATCACTGGCCTGGCTCCAAAGTTTATGCCCCAGCCGACCCATCCGGAGGAAGAGGGCGCCACTCCGGAGAAAACCACGGCTAGCGTGTTTCCAGAAGCGTTGTACGACCACGCGAGAGAGGCCTGCTGTGACGGAAGATTGACGCACGTCGCAAAGGTCATGGAGGTCCTGTTGCTGAAAGTGAGAGACCTGGAGCACGACTGGGCCATTGAGGTGATGGCCAAGCACTCAAGAAATAATAAAATCGCCACCGCGCCTTCGCTAGACCTTTTCCATGGATCTGGCATCGTTCCTACACGAGAAAGAAAGAAGAGATTATCAGCTGCGAAGAAACCCTATACCCCGCCAGGGCAATCCGATCGACGCAGCTAGAGAACGCGCTCCTGGCACAAGAACGGAGCTCTAGAGCACCGGATTACCCGCATTTTGATAGATTCGAGCGATTGGCGCAAGAACTCACCCGGAAATGGAGGCGTTGAGCGCGCAAAAATTCGATGCGCCGCGGCAAGATCCGGCGCCGTAACGCAGCGCCTCGCGCTCACGCAAGATTCGTGAGGGAAACGCCCTTGAGCCGCCGCCTGGGAGATGCCAGGATTTGGGTTCTTCCCTTCCCGAAAGAGCGGGAGACCAAAGTTCTCTTCGTGTACGTAATAAAAAAATTTCGCTCGCGGTCCCACCGTACAACTAAGCTAGAAGTGGGACCAATCTGGAGCGTGAGCTTACATCACACGTGGAGGGATCTGGAGCGTCGGCCATCGCATTCAAGTTATTGACTTTGGTGCTTCTAGTTGCTGATTCTATCATAACATGGCCTTGTGGCGTGGAATAATCTGGAGCTAAAGTTGAGTATAGTTGACTACGTTGACTTGGTGATGGAAGGCGTTGTTGCTTGAGCCGGGAAACAACAGGGGTGGAGTTGGAGTTGGAGTTCTCGAGATGAAATCCTGGACGACTTGGTTTTGAGGAAATGCCAGAGCCTGGTGTTGATGCTGGAAATCTTGCTCCAAAGTACTAGGGATTGGCCTCTCCTCCAAAGCGCTCGACGGCAGCGCCACTCCAGTGCTGGAACCCACTGCTGACATATCAGGCTGCGAGCTCGGATCGATCAGCATGCTTCCAAATTGCCATGATCCTCCTCCGCTAGCCGATCGATTCCCAGGGAACATCACGCTTTGCTGCTGCTTGTTCCGCATCATCTCCAAGGAAAGGCTCAAGATTTGCGATGCCGAGCTCTCCTGACCGCCGGAGAGCAGCGCCTGGACAAAAGGGTCACTGCTGGTGCTCGCTGCGAGCCTCCTCACACTCAAATTGTCGTGCTGGTCATCCATCCCAATCTCCGGGAGAGACGCCAGTATATCCTCCTCCACCGTGCTCCCATTGCCCGTCCTTCTCGACTCACTCTTAATCACGCTCGTCCTGCTGTACGCTTTCGCCTTCTTTTTGTAAATTCGGCATAGCACCCAGTCGTCCAGCTGAAAAAAATGGAAGTCAAACATAGTCAAAGCCAGTCAACATCTAGTCAGCGGCTTTCAAACCCGCAGTGATCCTCGCTTCCTGGCGAAGAGAGCCTTGTTGTTTGGATCCACGAGACGGTACTCGTGCATTATCCAGTTGGATTTGACGCCCTTTGGAGCTCGTCCTTTGTAAAAGACGAGCGCCTTCTTCACTCCAATCTTCCTGCCGTCGGCGGAGCTGTGGATCATCTTGTCCGTGCCAGTGGCTTTCCAGTAGCCTGACGCGGCCGCCCTGTTGGGACGAACTCCATTGGGGTACTTTCGGTCCCTGGGGCTGAAGAAATACCACTCCTTTTCTCCAAAGCTTGCCTGCTGGGGAAGCTCCCACGGATCAAACTTGTACAAGTCCACCTCGGTGACGATGGGAAGCGGCTTGAAGCTGTGCGACGCGAGCTTCCTGGAGAGGTAGTGGACGACGAGCTCCTCGTCCGTGGGGTGGAATCGAAATCCCGGCGGCAATTGCAGGTGATTGGAGGAGCCGGAAGCTTGATCGGAGCTTAGATGCTGCTGTTGCTGCTGGTTTTGCTCTCCAGTGCTGCAGTGCTGATCCAGGTCCATTGCGTTCGAGATTGTAGAATTTGAGGAAATCCACGCACTAAAATCCAAGGCCAGTACTACGCACTAGAAGTTTCGCCATGCCCGATCAGGAGATACACCCTGCTGAAGAGACAGACAAAGTGTCCTCAAACTTACCCAAACAAGTCACGAAAAAAAGCCCACACTGCGTACGTAGATTCCATCGCATATCCCACTTCCAGGCGTCCGCGTGCCTAGTTTCAAATCCCCTTCCATGGCCCCATTTTCTCAATAACACAACACACAAACATACAAAAAAGTGCTATGAAGCGACAGCTTCTTTTGTATCGCGACAAATCACACCATCACACCGCCACCCATGCCCATGGAATATATTCCATGGATCATTGTGATGGATGGATAGTATGGTTTTTGATAGATGTATCATAGCCGTCATGTAATGAGGGCCGGGGTGGCGTACGGAGGTGGGCTTCTTGTCCTTGTGGCCCAGAAGGTTTGATCGATTCGTCACAGCATTTGGAAGAGGCGTGGCATGCCGTACAAGAAAGAGAGCACACACTTATCACTCCCAAGTTTAGGGCAGAGAATATTTAGTTAAGTTATTCATTTCAGCTGAACCCTAGAAATTTCCAGAGCGCTTTCAAACAACACTAGAAGTTAGTCAGTGGAGACTTTCCTCCTCGAGGGCGGAGGAGCAACGAGCTTGCTGGATCCATCGGCGGTGGCGCCGCCCCTGCGAGCTCTCCGCGAGTTCTCATACTCAAACTTGAGAACGTTTTGAATGTGGCCGCTGTCCTTGATGTAGAAGGCGCGAGCGATCCTCGTCTCCTCAATCACTGGGAAGAGCGGCACCATCAATCTGTAAACCACGAAGTACCACAAGCTGCCCATCACCAGGCCAGCTCCGGCCCCGGCGAAAACCTGTGACACTGTGTGGTAGCCGAGGTAGATCCTCGAGTACATTGTGAGCACCGCGAAAGGCCACGGGAGTAGCACCACCATCGCCCTTCTCAGCGAGCCGTGGAAGGACCATCTGAACAGCGCCGACAAGCTGATGAATGTGGAGAAGAAGGACATGTACTGCGAGTGACTGGAAGGCCAACCGTGGGAGTCGCACATCTCGAGCAGCTCGCAAGTCAGTGGCCTGGCCTGCTTCACCTCCTCCTTGATCTTCTCGTTGCAAAACTCGGACATGATGAGCCCGGCGGCGAAGAACATCGCCAGGAGCTCTCTCCGGAAGATGAAGTGGGAGACGAATCCCGCTGAGATGAGAATGGGCAGTAGCGAGGCCCACGCCATTAGATGCCCAATATCGTCGCCAACCTCGTACCTGACATGGGTCACTGAGACTGCCTTGAGAGACGCCATTGCCGTAGCTTGGTCTATCCAAACAAGCCCTCTCCTTCGCCCTCCAAAAGTTGTGAGACCTAGAAACAGAGCGAAGAAGATATAAGGCTTTAGAAAACTTTGCAAGGAATTGACCACTTATTGCTCCCGGGAAGTTTAGATATGCGTTGCTGCTCTGGCCTTACCACGAGATCCTTTTGCCACGCGGAGTGAACTGTGGCAGCTTCCAAGCTCAACGTGTGTCCTCAAATTAAACTTAAATGATCACTGTAGGCCTAAGGTTCCATCGCTTTCATTTGGAAATGTAATGCATCGAAAGACTCGGCAGTGAGAGCAAAGCATAGCTCCAACCTGTGCGTCGATTCATCGCTCATTAAAAGAGGGCAAAATTCTATTCTCGCACTTACAGCTTTGCAGGAAGGGCAGCGGCGGTAGAATCGGCTCTTCCTCACTTGGACGTTCGTCTTCTGGCCATTGCAGAAGCTACAGATCGTCCAGCCGCGGCCGTCGCAAGCATCGCAAGGAAGATTCACCTGTGGGAGGACCTGATTCTGGAAATTTCGGGCGAGAAAGCAAGGAGATGTGGAGAAATTCCAGCGCGCATACCTGTGGCGATGAGGCGCCGGCGGCAGCGGCTGCTCTAGGAGATCGAAATCTTCTTCTGGGGATGGAATCCTCGTCAGCGGCGGGAGAGCGCCATAGCCAGGACTTCACAAGCGATGCCATTTTTCCTTTCTTAGCAACCACCCAATATAGAAACTAGTTTAGGGCTTCGCTAGGGTTTAGGGCTTGATGAGAAAATGCGAGGACTAGCGCTGTGGAAGCGATTGCAGGGGGCGCGGGCGATTTCCACGCGATCGATCCTGCTCGATGAGGCGCCGGGGGCGAGCGATCTAGCTGCGGTCGAGAAAGGTGAGCGTTTCTATGCATGTTGCGCCGGAAATTCTGGAATATTGATTGAAAGAATGGATCCAGCGTCTGCCAAGCTCAAACGGAAGAAGCCAAAGAAGCTGCTGAAGTTTGGCCTGGATGAATCCAACGCGGGAGAATTGCAACGCGTTCATAGTGCACGCAGAGAGATTGATAAGTGGCTCGAGCATCCAACGTTCTTCAATATGATAGCAAGTAAGCTACATTCTTCGATTTTTATGTTTTCGCTCGAGTTTCTGATTCTAAATTCTCTTGCAGAGGATGATGTTTCACTGAGGCCGGACGAAAAGAAGGAAAAACCACGATCGACTCCAATAGGCAAAGGCCCTGTTCTAACGTGGGAGACTTGCATAGTTTTTCCATACGATGGCACTTCATGGCATCCTCTCAATCGCAAGGTGAAGTTAAAAGTCCGTGTCAGCGACTTTCGTCTCAAGCCAATGCAACGGAGGCGCCTACTTGACTTGGTCGATCGCCGATACGAGCCAGCATTTGACGAGCTCACCATCACTTGTGACAGGTATGTTTCTGATCTACGAGTTCTCGGTTTTCTGTTTTCCTGAAACCTGTTTTCGCGATGCAGGTTTGAGAAACGCGAAGACAATCGCAAAGAGGCTCTGAGGCTTTTGTATGCTCTTTTGGAAGAAGCTACAAATCCAATCGCGGCAGTTTTAGCGAATAGCGGGGGACCTGGAGAAACGGAAGGGGAAGATGCCTCATCGGATCAATCAAAAGAAGAGACCAGCCCGAATGATCCTGCCTAGATACTCGACAAATGGTGGGTGTCTCCAGCGTGATATACCTTAAACATCACCATTGAATCATTCGCTTTCATTGCAGCTCCGGACACCATCAATATCACGGTCGCAGTTTTGTGGACGTGGCCTGAGACTTCGATTTGCGTGTCAAAAAGAGTGGTATGTATATTGCAAGTTGTCTCCAGGGAGGATACTCGAAATGTATTTTTTTGGAAACTGACTCGGTCAAGCATTTCTGCGTTGCATGATTGGGGCGTGGTGTGTCTCAGCCTTTTGTTGTCAAATCCTGGCTTTTTCAGAGGGCTCTGCATGTGATGACCTGAGTAGAAATGCGATTCTGTGCGGCTGGGTGTTTCTTGCTGGTCAAGGTCGTGTTTGAAAGGTTAATGCAGGAGCTACGCTTTGCGATCATGTTAATCACCTCCCTTGGAATCACGATGGGAACTTGAGAAGAAGTTGCTTCTCACTAATCCAGTAGAAACTTCGTGGGTCTGAAGTTCACGGAAGACTGGTCGACTTTCTTCCGTTAGTCAAGCCAGGTAATGTGAGAAACGTCCTTTTTTGTTTCACTCTTCTTTTCTTTTTTTCTGCTGCTGCTACCTTATCTCCTCGACTGCTATCTTGTGCAGCACCAGCACGCCGTCTAAGTGGACAAAGAGCTGTTTCATACAACACTGACGCAGAGCTATATCGGAGCTAGATCGGTTAAAGTGCGTGAAGGCGACTGGCTTCCAGAGGACCAAATGCTTTGCACCATTCGTTTGCTGGTGTTGCTGATCCAGCCAGTCTCCAGGTACTTAGTTTTGCGCGCTGCTTCTCGCCGTGGCCTTTGAACAGGTGAAGAGACGAAGAAAATTCCACGCTCGGCTCTCTCAGGTACTTCACGCTTTTGTGCCATGACAGGATAGAACTAATCCAGCGTGTCTTCGTTCTTCTTCTTCTTTTCCACTTCGCAGAGAACGAACGAAACTCTTGCCTGCCAACGAGAGAAGATTGGAAGCTTCTTTCCAGCGGCCATGCACGCAGTGTGGTGCATCAACCAGCGTAGAAACTTTGACAAAGGAGGATATGAGGGACACGTGTCGGCACCACGTGTCCCATGGAATTGTGCGTGCCGGCCTCCCTCAAATGATTGGCGGCCACGTGGGCCCCACAAACGCCGTTGATTCTCCGTACACAGCTTCTCTCCCCTTCGGGTACGCGCTCTCTCTCGCTCTCTCTCTCTCTCTCTCTCTCTCTCTCTCGGTGTTCTATCTCTTTCGGCAACGTAGGCAGTGACTGCATTGCATGGCTTCCATAAATTTTCCTTTCTTTTTACTTCTTTGTTTTTTTGTTTCATTCATCATTCCTTATCTTCTTTTTGTTCTTTCTTAGAAGAGTTTCTAGAGTTTATTCCCTTCTTTTCTCATTTCTCATTCCTTATCTTCTTTTTGTTTTTTTTAGACGATTTTTCCCTATTCGTTGATGCTTTTCTCATTCCTTTTTTCTTCTATTTTGTTTTTTTTTGCAGAGTTTCTAGAGACGTGTAGTGAAAGAAACATTTTTGGTTACTTGATCTCGATCCCTGACTGCGATATGTGTTGCGTAATAATTCCACCGGCTGGACTGTAAGCATCCATCGGGCGCAGGCGGCTGTCGACTTCATTTAAGATGTCGAGCGGTGCGTTGTTGCTTTCGCTCTACCTGGACCACTGCGGGGTATCAAAGTTTGTTACTGTCTTCCTTTGCTCTCGGGGCCGAGCGAGTCCCGTACAGGTCGATTTTGCTGACCACTTTGTTTCCGTTCGGATTAGACACCTGTGCCGTTTGGACGTGGGATGTGTTTCAGTGGAAAACTGCGAACTCAGGTATTTGTTTCCGTTTTTACGCGAGAGTTTTTTATTTTCCATGTCTTTTCTTTTTCAACTTTCATGCCATGTTCATGGCATACGGTATCGAGCTCACAGAGATGCCGTTATCCCAAAGCTTTTGTGGACAGCTTTTCTCTACACCTCACTTTCAACGCTTTGCTTCCAGCATTAGAGTATTGCATCTGGCTCATTCTACAGGCTGCTGGAAGTTCATCGAACTCCAATCCAATCATACGTGCCAGTAGAGGCTTTTTTTGCAAGCTTTCCCTTTGCATGCATGTCTGTAAGCATTTAGATATCCAGGATCTAGATGCTCTAAGCTTCGCTGTCCTATGCAGAAACCTTGTTTGTATGCGGGTTTGCGAGACTTCGAAGTCACATTTCCATCGCCCCACATGAAAGGTGTCCGTCTTTGAAGATCTTTGCTACGTTCATGTTGTGCTCGCCAAGCAATGATCTTTACACACAGAGACGAAATCTCACTTGTGTTATGTTGTAGCTCATGCTGATGCGAACCAGTCGACAGATGCGAGGACGAGTTCCCTACATGATTCAGAGGGGACCCTCGCCGGGTGGTAGACTTCCTCGGTACGTATCTCTTTTAATCTTCTCTTGTGTCAGTAACTTCTCGTGGATTGTTTTCTTAGAGCTATAGAAAAACCAAGGCGAGACAGCAGCCGATGAGCGGCAGAGTTGACAAACAACTCGCACAGCTAGCAAACGAGTGGCCATTCTTCTGCCAAAATTCCAGAGAGCCAATGATTAATATCAACCCCATGGAAAAACTAGAGGTAATGTTCTCCATGAAGCAACTCCATTATTTTTTTGTTTTCTTGGCAGGGAGAGAGAATGCAAAGGCGTGGAAGGTAGAGTGGATAAAACCGCGGTACCTGTAATGTATTTTAATCTGCACGAGGTAGAGCACTCCCGAGCAATGAATGCACCCGATCTTTGTCCCCTCCTTTCCTTCCACGAGCTTTGGAGTTGCACTGATTTATCTATCCATCCTTTTTCTCGCAGACAGCAGTGTGCGCGAGGGGTGCGATCCGATTCGATTGTGGGATGGAAGTTGGAGTAGCGGGATACCATTCTTTGTGACGGCGATCGCATAAACAAAACGCGAAAATCGTAAGTTCTTTCGTGGTTTTTCTGTATTTAAAAAGGTGGAGCTGTTGCTTGCTTCTCACACAACACAGGGCTCCGAGATGAGAGGCGGGTCCGGATGAGGGGCCGGGACGTTGTCCTCTTCAAACTCCCCCTACATTCCTGGCCGAGAAGCAGGGCATCGTTCGTTTTCGTTTTGTGACAACTTGTTCCTTGTTCCTTGCCGCGGCCCGGAAGAATAAACAAAGGCGGTGAGTGTGTGGATATATCGATATCGGACGAAACAACCAAAGAAAAGAATGAAAAGGTGACGGGGGGTATGCGTGGAAAAGAACGTTAAGAAATTCCAAGCTCCCATGCATGTTGTTTGTCTCTGGTTTTTAGGAGCTGGAGCAACAGTCGGATAACAAAACGCCCCAATCGCCTTGTTTATAGAAAGACAAGCCTGAAAGAGAAGCCTGAAAGAGCTTGAATTGGAATTGGCCAGACAAATCCTTCTTTATCTTTGTTTTTCCCAAGCTTTTAATCTACAAAAGCAAATGGTGCTGGTTGGCCAGGGTGCGAAGAAGAAGAAGGCGAGTAGTGTATTGACTTGTGGCAATGCAAACAGTGGAGTTTTGGAGCACAAAAGCGGAGATGTAGCAGTAGGTCTTGTTGGATCAAACGAGGGACACGAGCCCAACCGCGACCAGACACTCTAAAACTCCTGGGAAGAACGCTTTGAAAGTGGGCCATCCCATGCCATGGCCCCATGCATGAGCATCGCCGCCGGGCAATGGTCCCATGCATGTATGCGGTCATCACATCATCAGCATCATGACCATCATCATCTTTTTACGCATCCATTTGGAGTGACAACAATGAATTACTCTTTCCCAGACAATTGGAATGAACAATCACCAAGCACTGCTCCCAATTTCTTTCTAGTTTTAGTTAATGCCATTAACACAGAATTAAAATTATTGACAAGCAGATCAAGATAGCCAGCACGACATAATAATACTAAAATAACTCGAATTTTTTTAGCAACGTACGGCAGGGGGTGAACTGTGCGTACGAAAGTGTGAACGAGGCCACATTTCCGCGCCGTAAGGCCTGTTGACGACGATGCGGCCACGTGTTTCCATCCAGCGGCGGGCGGAATGGGCTTGCGCGTGCCTTGACATGCTTCTCGTTCCTCTCACTTTCTTATATTTAACACTTCTCCATCCATTTGAGCTTTGGTCGTGCATTCATTCTTTCACTCGTCATAGAGAGGTGGGAGTGAGCGGAGAGAGGCACTCGATCTTTGATTCCAATCCATATTTCAAGGCAAAAAGAAAGGAAAAGGCGAGAGATTTTCCTTGGCAATTTCCGGTTGCAAATTTCATAGCTGTGATCATGGCTTCTTCATTCATAGGTGTGAGCTTGGTATCATCTTAGGCGCATCAAATTGGTGTGAGAGCCTCCATATACTGTGTAGTTTGTAGAGAGTCTCTATAGAATTGATAGATCTCTCCTCTCACCCCTCTTCAACTCTACACACTCTCTCTCTCTCTCTCTTTCGCTTGGAAGATCGTCGTTTTCTTGTGGATCAAGCTAAGCTATGGAGGGAGGCGGTGTTAATTCCAGTAGCTCCTCCCGGAGGAACGAGCCTTTGCTTCCTCCAGGCTTTCGATTCCACCCCACGGACGAGGAGCTCATCGACTGCTACTTGATCAAGAAGGTGGAGAATAACAAGTTTAGCGTTCGTGCCATCCAAGACGTGGATCTAAACAAGAACGAACCATGGGAGCTGCCAGGTAAGAACACCTCCAAGCTCTCCATTGATTCGCATTTGATTCATTCTTCTTGGGAAGAAGTGGGAGTTCGTTCCTCTTTTCATGTTTCTTTCTCGAGTTTTCGTGCCGTGTTGGAAAATTGGAGCGACGCGCTTCCCGTGATAGAGGGTCTTGGAATTTCTCCTGTTCTTGCGATTCTATGCATCGTTTCTCATAATCTTGGCTAGATGCTATCTATTTCTTGGAGTCCGTGAGCACTACTAACACTTTCGTTTTTGGCTCTTGCTCCACACAGACAAGGCCAAGATGGGAGAGAAGGAATGGTACTTCTTCACGCTGCGAGACCGAAAGTATCCTACGGGAATGCGCACAAACCGAGCCACCGAGGCCGGATACTGGAAAGCCACTGGCAAAGACCGCGATATCACACGAACTTCCGCCAATTCCACCACCAATTCCTCGTCAAACACACTCGTTGGCGCCAAGAAAACGCTCGTCTTCTACCGAGGGAGAGCTCCCAAGGGCGTCAAGACCAACTGGATCATGCACGAGTACAGGCTCGAGGGCGAGGCGGCCTTCCTTCACAACTCAAGAACATCCAAGGTGATCACTTTGCTCACTCAAATCCTTCTTTTTCTCTTCCATAGATTGCAGTGCTTGCGGTGGCTAGATTTCTTGTGCTCAGGGCATAGATTTCCATCTCCTGGATTTTCTTCTCCCTTTTCCTACTGCAGCGAGAGGAGGAATGTTTTACTTTTTGTGTGGGATCGTCTTTTTGTTTTTTTGGCCGCTCTCTTTCTTGTTGTTGCTCCATCCAGTAGCGCAGCACTCGACTCTCTCTTTTTGTAGGCCCTGATGATGGGAGTCATGGACAGACACACATAGAGACAGCACACGGGGCGACAAAACAAGGCCTTTAAAGGGAAAAACTAAGAACATCACTCCAGGAGGAGAGAGAGGGGATAATTAATTCTCTCTCCCTCTCTCTCTCCCTCCACACTCAATCGTGGATCCAATTCGTGCTCTCGATTTGATTGCTTGTCTGATTTGTGGCATGATTTCCAAGAAGCATTCTTTCCATTCGATCGATCGGGAGACTGACCGTCCGAAGTTAAATTTTTTTCCTTGCAGGACTCGGAGTGGGTCGTGTGCCGGATCTTCCAGAAGAGCCCCGGAGGAAAGAAAGGCTTGATCTCGTACAAGGAGTCTCGCATCGCCCCCACCACCGCCACCACCTCCACCACCAGCAAATCCAACCTCGGACTGTGCGAGCACTCGGACGAGCACTCGTCACTCCCGCCCCTGCTCGAGTCCCCACATCTCGACTCCTCGTGCATGCCCGCGCTCGACGCCGCCGACTCTTCCACCCAAGCCTTCCAAGTTCTCGGCAAGAGCATGGTCGATTTCGCGAGGTTCCCGTTGCCTTCCTCTTTCGACCACCACACCGGCTTTGGCTTCTTCGACGAGGGAGTGATGAAGCAGGCCAAGATGGAGCCCCTCACTTGCTCGCTTCTCGGCCTGGAACAACAAAACCACCACCAACACCAACAGTTAGAACAGCAAAATCATCGCCATCACTACAACAGCATTGCTAGCTTCAACCTTCACGACGAGCATACCTCTTCCTCCAACCCCTCGTCGACTCTACGACGGGAAAACTCTTGGATGAACGATGCCACCGCTCCTTACAGCTTCGATCACTCCACCGTTGCCACTCCCAACGCATCACTCTACCGTGCTGCGGCCGCTGCCGCCGCCGCCGCCGCTGGCTCCTCGGCAGTCGATCTCGAGTCGCTCTGGACGTATTGATCTTGGTTTCGTCGCTTTCTTCCTGCAAAGAAGTGGTACACCATTCGAAAGTAAATACTGTTCGTTTCTAGCAAGTAATGTAGTGTCTGATCTGATATGAACCTTGTGTATATGCTGGTGAAGAGAGTCTCTTCTCGTCTCCGCTCGTTGTAAATATGAAGCAGCGTGTATAGAGAGGACAACGTTTGGTTGTCACTTCCGTACCAAGAGCCACCTCACATTCGGGGCTGGAACTTAGAAGTTTTGGTTCCTTTCGGTTCCTCCTCTTCCGTGCATTCGCAAAACTTGCAATCTCTGCGGCGCTTGACGCTCCCCAGATTGAAAGCTCGCTTCTCCAATCCAGCAAAAGCCAGCAAAAGTCTCTACCAGCTGGCTAGCTACGTATGGCTCTCAAGAACATGTTCTCGTTTCTCCGGATATCATGTACCCGTCTGAATCAAAACTGCAATATAAAAAGGGAAAGGAGGCGCTTTAGTGAGCTCATCACGGAGTGTTGAAGTTTCAAACCCGCAAGTAGTGTTCCCTCGCCATTGTCTATGTGCAGCGAAGCACCTTCCCTTACGGATTAAAATAATACCAGTCATCCTCCCGCAGGCGCTTAAGACTAAGACGTTACGGAACAGCTCCCCTTGTAAAATGAAGTGCCCACCGAACTTTGTCGTTTGTCTGTGCTGGAGATTATCTTGTGTCACAGCTGATCATCACCGCATCATCTGTAAACTCCCACGTTTTCCAAGGATCAAATCGCAAAGATAATCAATCATATTCACCAATACCTCCTGCTTATCTGAGAGACCCGTGCTCGCAACTTGTGCAGAGACAACCACCGTTCTTTACTCGCCAAGGAGATGAATGATGCACACAGGAACTGAAAAAATCCATCCACAAGTCAAGGCGAGATGAGAGAGATGGTGATGGTTCGATCAACGAGTGAAAAGTACCTTGTATATTCAGGCCCGAATAGTCTGTTCCTGTACCCGGCGAGTTCTAGATAGAAGGTGGTCAATCACCATCAATCGAATACGAGAAGTACCTGAAGAAGAGCCAAGGTTGCACAAGTAAAAATCATCCACTGTCGCACTCTAAACTCCCTCTCGATGTTTCCACTCGTGTTAAGCTCAAAACTGTGCAAGCGCCTGTGATTAAATATGATACATACACGCACCTGTGAGTGTGAATAAAAGTGTATGTCATGATACAACCGAAGCATCTCTAAAGCTCGAGAGAATCTTGCTTCTCAGGATCTTTGCCATTTCCACCACGTTCATGGAGGACGGTTTTCTACCAGACTTTGAAACGCAGGATTGTGAGCCGAGGGCGACTAGCCTGTTGGTCACACTCAAGCTCCGGTTTGCCGCTTCGGGAGTTTTTGTTAAAAGTGAAGTCGCTGTTGCTGCATGAGAGCCGAGCTGAAAAAGCAGAGCCACTGCTTCCGGCAGCAAAGGTGACCTGCGCAGTATGGTTCCATGGAATGGTTGTGAATGACTGATTAAAACATAAACACCATTGGAGTACCTGTCGCTGGTGTTGGAACCATTTTTCTTCATTTCCTCGTATCTAAGCTCCAAGTCTAGAAAGGAAATAAGATCTCTCGCCACGTTTGAAACAGCACCGTCTTCTTGAACCAGAGCCAGAACACGTTCTTGTTTAGCTGACATGAGATACGCTATCGAGAGCAGGGTGGACTTCCGCAGCCAATAGTCCTGGCAAGTATCTAAGGTTTAGAGAAATGCGGCACGTTGATAACTCTCACCTGAACGGGATCTTCATCTTGTGTTAGGCATGCACACAAGTCCTTGAAAATGCTTGCAAGTTGCCCTGCAGGACTACAAATGATTTCCAAAATCCTAGGACCTGCAATGCAGAGTGTAAGTTGAGATACAATGACTAGCGATGCAAACGACAGACCTTACAATTGATAAGAAGATGTACAATTCGCACAGCCTGAAGTTGCACAGCTGAAGAAACAGCAACGCTTTTCTTAAGCAACAAAATTATTCCGGCTTCAAGGAGGACAGTTCCAACCCTGTTGAACGAACAATACAGAAGTAAAGAAAAAACAGTATCAAGGTGCTTTCGTACCGTAATCTTTCATGCGTAGGATTTGTATGGATGACAAATGAGGCAACAAGCAACAGTGCTTCCTGCTTCACTCCTGTATCAGCATGGCTTTGGGCTAGTTGCAGCGTCGAATTTAAAAATCGAAGCGCTGTCCCTTCATCCGTCGGAATTCCTCTTCTCACGTCTTCATTTGAGCTCGCCGAAGTTTTCAGATTGCTCGTAACTCTCGGAGAGGAGAAAACGTGACCACAGATATCATCTTTATGCCACCCATTGCCTTCCGTTTGACAGCTTTCTGAATAAGATTGCCTGAACAAACAGCTCAATACACATGATCCAAAGAGGAAATAGAAAGAGCACCTATAGAAAATACTCCATGTGTTCCCTACCAGACATTGAAATACACGCAAGGCACTTCGTACTATCAACGTCTGCCAAAAGAGAAGAAAACAAACAATAAAACCAAAGAATAGTGGACAACATACTCACATTTTGTGAGCTTAAATAACTAGATAGCGGGGTAATTAACGTATGTGCGGAGCGGAGCCCCTGTATGACCTGTCCATCCAAGCGCGATGTAATGAATCACGAGAAGAAATGTTCAACTGACCTGCTTGAGCGCCTCACACAGGTTTCCGGCACAAGTTCCTGACGCTTGAACGCTTGCCTGTGACCTGAGCGGATGTTCCATCTCTGTATCTTCAGACCGGAGAAGGGCATATAAGTCCCTCTCACACCATGTAAATATTCTTGTAAGAAGTTCGCTTCCAGCTTCTCTGGGTTTTATGCGCCATATGCTGTAGAGTTTTTGCACGACATCAGAGGAGTCTGCATAAGAAAACGGAATCGGTTCGCGATCTGCCTGCATCAGATTCACAGGTGAGGGTGAATGAAAATCTTCGCAGACCTGAGAAGCATCAGCACCACTTTTCACGGTATCGCCAGCTGAAAGTGGAAGTTGAGAGTATAGAAAAGAAGCCGATGGCAAACCATACCAGAACTGTCATCAATGTTTGTAACCCCTGGCTTTGATGAATCCACGGCCTTGGCCGTGAAAGATGCAACCTGACAAGCCAGGATTTCTCGCTTTCGTTTCTCCCCAACTGCAGCATCGGACCTGAAAGTTTCAGTAAGGAATGTTTCCATTTCAACAAATAAGTATAGAGCTTACTGCTTCTTGAGTGCACAGATTTCTCGTTGCATGACGGCTATTGCCTCTTGCAAGTGCTCCTCCTTCTGTAAACTCTGACGTTTTTCTTCCAAAATCTCTTGATCCTACATTGCTCCAGTGTTTCTTAGGATCTTTTCTCGGCGAAATACTACCTTGAGCCGAAGCTCTGCCGAAAGACGCTCGATTTCTTGCTGCATATCCACAGGCCATCAAAATTTTCTTGAGAAAAAATTTCAAGTCCCTTCACCTGAGCAGCATCCAAGTTCTGGTTCGCATTTTGCAGCTGCGTAGGAAAGTAGCGAGCTTGGATCAAGAAGGTCATGGCAGAGAACTTACCTGTGGGCAGGACACTTCCATCCCTAAAGCGCCAACGTCCCATTCGTCGAGTTCTGACAAATGCGCGGCTGGTGCTGCTCGCTGCTGGCGCTGGCTCGCCTTCACTGCAGAGGCCTCCAGGCGATCGATCTCCAGCATCGTCGCCAAGTCCCACTCGTCGTCCTCGATCATCTCGAAAAACCTAAAACTACTCAGTTCTAGGGTTTTAACATTAAAGAAACCATCAACCAATGAAAATAGTTTAAAGGATTTGAGTATGTGCATTTAAAAATTGATGTGTAACTAACATCTTGACTAGAATGTGTTTACAGATACGATCACAATATGCATACTAATACAAATCAACCACCAACGACTTTAACCAAAGATCGTTGGTCAGGTAGGCGAGCACAGGAGCGAGGAGCTGCGGTTTGACTAGGAGGGTAGAAGAGTGAGGAGAGTGGAACATGGAGAATAGACAGCGGAGAGTGGAGTGTGGAGCTTTAGAGCTTGGAGCAGGGGTTTGGAGTTGAGAGGTAGGAGAAAGATTACCTTGCATGGAGCATGGTGCAAGGTGGGGCATGGAGCGGCTAGATCAGCAAAGGTGACTAACTTACATTTTTTTGGATTGGCGCTGAGTTGATTGATATTTTCGTAGTTCAAATGCACCGCATAAGTTGTTGACTAAATAAGGGTATATCCTGATAATGCAGAATCCGAAGAGGGCAAGTAGACCAAATGATGATAGTAGTGTTCTTTCTCGTCTCCACAGCGCTCCTCATCCTCACCAGATCTCTTCTTCAATTCCTCCGGAACAGCAGCAGCAAGGGGCGCGTCCCTCCTGGGAGTCTGGGAGTCCCTGTGATTGGCGACTCTCTGAATTTTGTGAAAGCGCTCAAGCGCAATGATCCGTGGCGCTTTTACGGCGAGAAGCGGGCCAAGTACGGCCCGGTTTTCAAGATGTCGCTGCTCGGCTCCCCTGTTGTCATCCTGCCCGCCCCAGCAGGCCACAAATTACTGTTCGGCAGCGAGGAGAAACTGGTAGTCAATAGCTGGCCTGTGGGATTCAAACGCCTTCTGGGTCCTGGTTCCCTCACTAGCCTGACGGGTGAGGATTTCAAGCGGATGAAGAAGGTGTTCATGTCGTTCCTCAAGCCGGAAGCTCTACAGAGGTATGTTCCGAGGGTGAGCCAGTTGAGCTTGAAGCACTTGGAAGATCATTGGGAAGCTTACGCTGGTGAAGAATTTGCGATCTATCCTGCTGTCAAGAGCTTCATATTCTCTCTGGCCTGTAGCTCGTTCATGAGTCTGGAGACGGAGGAGGAGCAGCTTGAGCTAGAGGAGCCGTTTGCGATCTGGACCAAAGGACTACTCCAGCTGCCTCTGAACATTCCAGGGACTTTGTTTCACAAGGCTCTGAAAAGGCGAGAGGTTATCCATGACCTTCTGGGCCGGTTGATTTCTAAGAGGAGGCAGGAGCTCCTGCAAGGCAGGGCATCTGAAACCAGTGATATGCTCTCGGTGATGTTGTCTTACCGCAATGAAGATGGAAAGCCCGCTTGCACCGATGCTGAGATCAAAGACAATCTGCTGCTGCTCCTCTTCGCTGCACATGACACCAGCTCTTCAACTCTCACCCTGTCATTGAAGTTCCTGGCTGAGAATCCCTACTGGAGGAACCAGGTTCTTCAAGGTAAGCAGCCGAACTTGATCTTATAGAAGCTGCGGATCATCCTCATGATCAATGATATTCTTGCGGTGGACTCTCTGATGGCTTTTAATACTGAATGCTGCACTCGTGCAGAAAATCTGGCAATCTCGCAGGAGAAGAGTGGTCAGGACGGCTACAGCCTGGAATGGGATGATCTTCGAGGAATGAAGGTGAGCTGGAGAGTCTTGCAAGAGACTTTGAGGTTGCAACCTCCAGCACCAAGTGGATATAGAAAGGTTATCCAAGACTTCGAGTTTGGCGATTATCTGATCCCCAAAGGCTGGAAGGTACGGGCTATATCCCGTCTTGATCTATTTCAGCTTCATCGGTTGTTCTATTATAGGCCTGCTGGACGGTGGTGTCTCACAAGTTGCCTGAGTTCTTCCCGGATCCAGAAAAATTCGATCCAAGCCACTTCGAGGGCGACAGCCCAGCTCCATACACATACGTTCCATTCGGAGGGGGTCCTCGCATGTGTCCGGGCAACGAATATGCCAAGATGGTGATGTTGGTGCTGCTGCATCATCTGGTTCTGAGGTTCGACTGGCAGCTGGCCGATCCTGACGAAGGGGTTACAATGGATCCCATGCCAATGCCACAAAATGGACTGAATGTCAAACTTCACAAGCGAACCTGATTAAAGAAGTTGACTATAGAATCTTCCAGCTGATTAAAATTTGAATCTGTAAGTTTCACAAGCAGTACTTAGCCAAATGCTAACAATTGAATTGACATTAGTGTTGAGTTCAACAGTGAAACTACCAAGCCTGGTTGCAATGATTGTTCATTCCTTTGCCAGGAACCCTATAGCACTCACCAATACTATAAAAGAGGAAATTTTTATTTATTGTCTTCTGTTTCTAAATGAGTGGGAAAATACTAACCATAAAAAATTTTTAGACTAAAAAAAAGAATCTTATTAAAAATAAATATAACAATATAGAAAACAACAAACAAGATGATTTTATTAGAGAGAATAAAATTAATTGATGATTTTTTAAAAGATATGAGGTCCAAGTGTACCACTATAATACCATATACTAATATTAGTATAGTGGGATTTTGGTAGCCATCAAATTGGTTTTAATCCGAACTACTCATTCCTATATATAAATTAGGGTTTATTAGGTAATTGATTATATATATTTCCTGTATTTTCTTTCCATATTCCATACTCTCAGATTGGTGAAGATAGGGGGTTAGCTTTGATTATCCCTGAGAATTGTTTAGATTTGGAAATTTTTGGTTTAGATTTAGCTTTTGCATTGTTTATATCTCCTTTTTTTCTATATTTTTCCATTTCTTTTCTTTTGCTCTTTCTTTTTCATTCATCTTTATAGCAAAGTAGTAATCTCCTCCTTCTTTTACTTTGGAGCAGCAGTTAATGCAATTGCTTAATATTATGTGATTGCAATTGAATAACTAAACTCAGTTGATGATAACATTCATAATGCATGGTATAGCTCCTCTTGCTCTTGCTACCAATCCTTAAATTTAGCTAAAGTTTTTCTATAGAAATCCTAAAGATGATGTATACCATTGGTTTGATCACTTCATAATGAATGCCACATATCATTTTTAGGATGATGCTCAATATTTACGTGAATTTCCTATATGTTTCTAAGAGACGGCATTATGGTGGTATAATGGTTTGAGCATAGCCACTTATGAGGTTTGAAGTATTCTCCTGGATGTCTTCAAATGCATATTTAGATATGTTAATGATTGTGATAATACCTTTTAACAATTGCATCGTCTTTGTTAAAAGCCATTTAAGTCGGTGATGTAGTTTGGCATTCGTTTCCAAAGCCTCTTACTTTGTGTAGAGCCAAATATATCAGAATAAATCAAGTTAGAAATGTTGTAGCCAGCACTTGGTCAAAATCTTGTAGAACTTATATATGCATTTGCTTCAGCCACCCTTGATAATGCTTTTTACCTAGTATAACATTATGAGACATTGCCTCTTTTAGTTCTCTTTGCACGTCCTCCTGCTTTCCTTCCTAGGGGAGATGGTCTTGTTGATGCTATTGTTACTTATGTTCAAAGATTAGGGCGAGGACATGGTCATGATTATGATGTCCGTTATTAGGCATATGATAAGGTTGGCCACATATATTGGTGTTGTTAACATCTTCTAGATTGGCATCCTCCATTTCCTAGGTGGAGGCCTTGGCGTTAACAATGTCTTGTTAATGTAGTTGCAGTGGAAGATTTTGACACAGAGATTCTTTTGAGAAACAAGAAGTCACATAAGTAGTGAAGGGTCCTTACGTGAATAAGTCAATAATCCCTTTATCTTTCTTTCAAGAGTACCATCAAGGTTCACTTGGCATTAGTTCATCTAATATTTACATTTGAAGCTCATTTTTATAACAAAAGGTTTCTTATTATTCTTTCTATATTGGTTGATATATACTTGAGTTCTACTCAGCCTATTGCCACATGCTGCCATCTATAGTTGCATTATGTGAAAGAGCTAGTTTTCATTTTGTATGGCAATGGGTATACATATACATGTACATAGGATGAGGCAGACCTAGCGATGTGTGTGGGTAATTTTGAGTTTGAGCTATAGTTATTGTAGGTGGTGCCAAGTCAAAGTTTTGACCTCATCCTTGGTATAGATTGGTTGTTGTGCAATCATACTAAGTATGACTTTGAGGCTTCTCCCCCTTATTTCATACTTTTTTATATTTCTTTTATTCCTCTTACTTTTATTCCTCGTCATCTTTTTACTTTTACTTCTACTTCCATTACTTTTATCTTTCCATTATTTCCTTTTATGTTTCCATCTTGATCCTTTGTTCCCTCTTTTGATCTCTTCTATAGTCTTTGTGTCGCAGTTGTGGAATGATTTAAAGAGTATATTAATCTCTTTAACTTTGACTTATCATCTATAGCCAGAATTGCAACATTCCAACTAGGGATGTTTGTCCAATCAAGGTTTTTATTTGACATTAGTCACCAAAGGAAATCAAGATTTTACTCACAAACGTCAAAGAGATATTAATGAAAGGTGTTATTAAAAAGTCTTAAAGTCCTTGGGCATGTGAACTTCATCTTATGACGAAGCTTAATAAGAGTATTTACTTATGCATTGCATATTATTTATTAAATAAGGTGACTATCCTAAATATGTACCCTCTTCTTCACACTATTGATCTTCTAAATTGTTTAAGGAGAAGTTGTTGGCTCACTAAGTTATATCTTGCTTTTAGGTACTAGCAAGTACTGATGGCTGAGAAAAATGTTCATTACATTATTTTTCATACACAATTTCATTTTTACGAGTTCTTGGTGATACTATTTGGTTTAAATAATGTTTTAACAACTTTCCAATAAATGATGGATAAAGCATTTTGTGATAGCTAAAGGTGACTAATGGCTTCATTAATGATTTTTCATCCACTTTGAAGGGATATGAAAAGAACACACCTATAATGTTTGTAACTATTGGATCAGCTGTAAAATATTGATTCAAAGCTGAAGTAGTTAAAGTGTGTGTTTGGGTCCAAAAACATGATTTATCTTGGGTACCATATTTCTCGTAAAGGTTTATAAGCCATTTGATCCTCTCTTTTTTATGTTCAACTTTTTCCCAACTTTTTGATATTTCTTAGTCTGAGCCACTGTTACATATTCTTAGTGTTTTTTCCTCAGTTAGAGTATTTCCTTCACCTGATATATCAATCATTTGTGACTTTTATGATTTTCATTCTTAATTTGGTTTTGAGTTAAATGTTTTCTCCTCTTTATATTAATTTGGATATTAAGAGTATAAGTGAAGTGAGATTTTTGTTTTGTTTCATTAGTCAAAAGTCTTTGATCAATTCTAGTGTTAAATATTTTCTTGTTTCAAGGGATGAGTCACTTTTACCAAAGTTTTAAGTTGAGCATATATCCTAGCTGTGAGTGCTACTAAAAGCTTTTGTTTTATAATTATTGTTAAATGCTTTATTTCGTTAAAGTGGAATTTTTCATTATCCCACTTATGGTGTGTGGCCACATGCCATTTTTATAACAACAATAAAAAATTGAAGTTTTAGCTTTATAATTTATAAATTAAAAACTTTTCTTATGATTTTGTGTTATAATATTGTGAAATATAAAAAATAAATTAAAAAACTCATAGAAATATTAATAAATATTAATTAAGTACTAGGAAATGGCATGTGGACACATGCTAATTAATGTCCCACTTTACTGAATAAGTTCCACTTTAACAAAATAAAGCATTTAAGGAGTTTATGTATTCTCTTGAGAGTGGGACTTTTTAATTAATTTTCTTATCTCAAATGTTGAGTTGTGAAATTAGCTATATAAGTACCAACATTTCATATTTATAATTTTAAATATAAATTATAAAAATTGTGATTAATAAATATATCTAAATATTTTAAGTAAGATTTTCTTATCAGTTTTTATTAAGAAAAAATATTAAGTACAACATAGTTTTATCTTGTATCTACAGATGATATATACTGGTCTAAATTATTTTTTGAAGGTTTAAACTTAACCCCTTATAAATATAATTGAGCTATCTTGCCTAGGTAATATGTTGATTATAGTACTATAGCATATCAATTTGGGATTGAATTTGATCCATCCATTTTTTCATATAAGAAAGGGTCTAAACCCTAATTAATATACTTATTTCTATATCTTGAGCACTCATATTAGTGGAGGTAAGAGGTATTGCAATTTGTCTTTGAAAGCAAAAGTTTTTAGCAATGCTTTGCTCAATATTCAGAATTATGCTTTTTATTCTTATTTCTTTGTTCTCTTTTACACTTGACATTTTATTTTAAGTGTGGATATTTCTGATATCAATCTTGGTGGTATGTTAATTCAAAAGAGTTTGAGTGTGCCTAATCAACATCATTCTATTACATACATAAGCCATACATTACCACTAGTAGAAATGAATTACTCCACAGTAGAGAAAGAGTATTTAACAGTACTTTAGGGTTTCAAAAAGCTTCATGCATATTTGCATAGTTCTTGGACATTATTAAAAAGTGATCATGTTGCGGTTACTTTATTATTGAAGTGGAAAAATTTAATTGATCATACTACTTGATAGACTCTAAAACTTTAAATATATGATATTGAGGTTGTTTATTGTCAAAGGAATTTTATGGTTGATGCTAGTGCCCTTTTTCAACCTCCTCTCCCTTCTCCACTCTTTTCTAATGTTTCTGACGAACATATTATTCCACCATTAATGGATTTTCTAGATGAGGATTTTATGATGTTAGTGGTTGTTATATATGATGTTCAATGTTCATAAAGTGTGGAACAAGATTTACCATCTTTTGATAAATTTTGTTAGGTTCAAAAAGCTAAGTTGTGGATTCAAAAGTTTCATAAGGGGTTTAATAATCTTACATCAGTTATTGATGACTTGTTATTTTAGCATTTACATTCTTAATATCATCTTATGAACAACTATTTTTATTTTTTGAGGACAAATCTTGGTTTCTGGTGTTTTAATATTTATTCCATGTTTTTTCCATACCCACTATGACTCTCTTATTCTTGATAGGCATATGAAACATCAACATGTGACTAAGAAGTTGCATAAGTTTTTCAATTAGCTAGAGATGCAACATGATATTATCTAATATGTATATAGTTGCATTTAGTGTTAAACTTGTAATACTCCCCCTTATATTGAGAAAGAACAATTAGAGTTAACTGAAATTTCCTATTTATTTGAATTGATGGCATTTGGTCTAATCAGGCCT